ATCATGTTAACAAGCATGAATTTGCATTTTAATAATGCATCAGTAAATGTTGAATTAAGAATAATAAATTTTTTGCACATATTATTCATTAGTATAAGCAAATACATTAACTACTGAAATATTATTGTAAATGTGTGACCTATATTTTCTTAAAAGACCTTTTAAAACTCATTCGAGAGCCTGATGAACTGCTACTTTTTTATTGTGTACTTAAAACCTATTGTATAGCAAAAAAAATCAAATTTATTTCTGAATAGATGTTATTGTAAAGAGTAAAGAAAGACTTTGTGATCACTGTGGCCTGTCTTAGACCTGCAAACTTAGCATGCGAAGCTCAATCAGTAGCTTCATCAAGTCTCTTTCTCAAATAGTCAGCACACTACCCAGATGACTCTCTTAATCAGCGATGCCATTTTATGCTCTGTTGACGTGGATGTGTGTAAATAGTCTCCAGTACTTAGTATTTTCTTTGATCGTCATGTTCTACTTCTCTCTTAACAGGATCTCAGATCAGTTGGCTTACGCAGGATAGGGTTAAAGGGTTTAAGTGAGCATCAGACAGCAGGGCGTCTGTTTATCAATGCAACCCATCAGGCTAGAACACAGCTTGTAGGATTGAACCTCTTAGCACACACAACTCCAGACGTAACCACAAACACAGTCCTGCTTCACAGTTATTTTGCACGATTAAAACATTTGCAACTTTAAATGCATTTGCAGTTCCCTTCGGATGTGAAACTGACAGATAAGTACAGTTGAAGTCAGATTTTTTATTCCTTTTCATATATTTCCCAAGTGATGTTTAACAGAGCAAGGACATTTTCACAATATTTCCAAAAATAAAAATAAATATTTTCTTCTGGAGATTTTTTTTTATTTATTAATTAATTAATTAATTAATTAATTAATTTATTTATTTATTTATTTATTTATTTATTTATTTATTTATTTATTTATTCGTTCATTTATTCATTCGTTTATTTATTTATTCATTCGTTTATTTATTTATTCATTCATTTATTTATTTAAGTATTTATTTATTTATTTATTTATTTATTTATTTATTTATTTATTTATTTATTTATGTGTTTGCTTGTTTGTTTATTTTAGTTTGTATTTTAAGTTTTTAAAAGCAAATATTATGGTCATTATTATTATTAACCTCTTTAAGTTTTTTTTTCCTATTGCTACAGAACAAACCACTGTAAAATAACTTCAAGTAACAACAGTAACTTGCTTAAATTAAGTGCTTAACTTAAATTAAGTTGCTTAGCTACCATAATTAAGATATGTAAGCCTTTAAAAGGCACATTGCTATATACTACTATTTTACAAAATAGCACTAAAATAGGATTTTTGTTTATTTATTTTTTGTTTTTTGTAAATAACTGAATTTCACAGGAGGGTTAATAATTCTGACTTTATTTGTAGATAAGATAAAAACAGCCAGTTAATTATAACACATCTACAAAGGACTTTTTGCTTAATAAGTACTATTTATTTATTTATTTATTCATTCATTCATTCATTCATTCGTTGGTTTATTCAACCTTCAAAACGTATCACAAAACTTCATGCTCTAAATCAGAAATGCCTAAACTAGGGCCTATGATTCGACCCGCCATCTCATCTAAGAATGGTTTAGAGCAATGGTCTCAAACTCAATTCCTGGAGGGCCTCAACTCTGCACAGTTTAGCTCCAACCACCTCCAGCTCACACATGCTTAATAATATAGGCGGTTTCTCAATATACGTTCTTCAGCGGTCTTGTGTCTTCGAGTTCTTGTGTAACCCCATCGTCAGCTGCCAACGTTCAGTTTCAATACTCAAGACCACAAGAACAGAGGACGCATATAACTTCCCGCATGTGTTCTTGAAATCGAGGACGCACTGATGCAGACTTGAACACCGAACTTGCTCTAGAAGTCCCAGAAGTCATTGCGACTGGAGGTGGGAAGCGCTGCGTTTTATTTAGATTGATTATTGAAGTTCAGAGATATAACTTATTTGACTCATTAGCTTCCCTAAATGAAACGGTTAATATAAACATTACCATGAACATCATAATAAAGGTATAAACACATTAAGGATGTTTGTTTGCTGAAATTCATATAAAAATCAGTTTTATTTATATTGTGCAACGTATATTTATATTATTTTTATGCACAGTATAAATTTTGAAAAGGGGAAAAACAATAAATCATTGTATGAATGCTGTAATATTTAAATAATTTTCCATTAAAAAAACGTGAAGGTCATGTGACCATCAGGAAGAAAGCAGTATCTCATTTCTCACAGGACACGTTCTCTGTTCTTGTGGTCTCCCGAGTTTTTTTTTCCGAGGACACCTGGCAAGACCGGTCTCCACAAGAACACAAGTCCGTGCTCTGTGTTCTTGGAATTGAGAAACAGCCATAGTCTCTAGTAGTCTTGAACACCTTGATTAGTTGGATCAGCTGTGTTTGATTAGGGTTGGAGTAAAGCTGTGCAGAGCTGCAGCCCTCAAGGAATCCAGTTTGAGACCATGTTTTAGAGATTGTCATTTTAAATTTAATGTAAAATGTTATTCGTTTGTTTTATTGTGAAGCTACAAAAAAAGATATTTGAAACTGTTCCAATGTAAATGGTTTAAACTAATCTGATTTAGTTTAAGATATGATGCATAGAGGACAATGAAGAGACTGTGTGAATCAAGGCAAAGACAGCTTCTGCTTGACTAGTGTATTCAGCATTGAACTTCACTGTGTTATAAATGTAATTGTTTATGATTTTATTGCAAAGTTATGATTAAAGAAAGTTAAACTGCATTATTTAATATATTTGAAAGTAATGTTTTCTCAGTTTTTTTATATTATGAAATGAATAAGGAAAGTGCACATGGCAACTTTACTGTAAATTAATTTGGTATATTTATCTTTGGCCCATGGCTATCAATGATATTTGGTTTTTAGCCCTTTATACAAAAAGGTTTGGCCAGCCCTGGTTTATGTTTTTATTGCAATGCATTATGATTTTGAACTTTATACTACATTAATCAATATGACTTAATGTAATGTTTTCAAAATTTCAACTTTAATGTAAAATAATTTGGTATATTTACCTTCAGGCAACGGCTCTCAGTGATATTTGGTTTTTGAGCCCTTTTCTAAATATTATGTATTTGCAGTGTGGTGTTGTGTGCACTGGATGGCGCTATGGATCTTTACAGTATTTTAGGAGAGTTCGCCCTCTTGTGGTGATGCTTAAAAATGCATAACTTGGCTTGGCTGTGTGTCCAAATCTGCCTAAATCAAGCACATCTGAATAATCAAGCTCTGCAAAGTCTTCATGCACGGTAGAAAACTCAAATAGCAAATGCGTTGGATGCAGGATGTTGGTCATCAAGAAGCAGGATTGGAAACTACTGTTACATAGTGAGACTGTTTACAACTTTAAGGGATATTTTATTAAATGAAATGAAACTTTCCTCACAGTTTAATGACACTCAGGAAGTTGTAATGTTTTTATGAAATTATTTCTTCTGATGAACAAATACACACACACAAGATATTTTGAACAATGTTGGAAACCATCAGCCACTGACATCTATAGTAGAATACAGTAAATGATTGTTCCTCCCAACATTATTAAGAATATCCTCCTTATGCTTAAGAAAGAAAGAAACTCCTAAAGGTTTAGAACAAGCAGAGGTTGAGTAAATTATAAAAGGATTAAATTTTTCAGATGAACTGTTTCTTTAAGAACTGTTTGATGAATTGGTTATAATTTAAAAATGATCGTAGCACTGCTTTTTAATCTGGGGGTATAAACCATGCTCTGAACACGTTATGTTTTATTTCAGGAAAAAAAATGGCAGATTGATTTTTTTTTTATCACATTTTTACAGTTAAACTGTGGTAAGCATAGCAAAACCCTGATTTTAAAAAGAAAAATAGCAACATAGGAACTTTATATTCCTAGAATGGGCAATTCAGATAAAAACTGCTAAAACTGTTGCCAGTATATGATAGAAAGATGCATAAAATAGAATTAAAAGGAAACATGTAAAGCTTTTGATTAAATGAAATCTGAAGCAGCAATGTTTACATCCCATAGCAGTAACAATGTGAACAAAATAAATGTGACAAAGCACACTTACAATTTATGACTGCTGGTCATGTGTAATGTATTAGATCAACATAGCATCGGTATTATAATAATGTCACATCCGGTTTCTGATCATTTTTGATAATTTTTCTGATCATTCTCATCATATTTAGTATATATATATATATATATTTACACACACAATTGAAGTCAGAATTATTAGCCCCCCTCAATTATTAGCACTCCTGTTTCCCTAATTTCTGTTTAAAGGAGGCAAGATTGTTTCTAAACATAATAGTTTAAATAACTCATCTCTAATAACTGATTTATTTTATCTTTGTCATGATGTCATAGGCGAGGCAGTAAGTAAGAAGGTCGCTGGGTCGCTGGTTCGAACCTCGGCTCAGTTGGCGTTTCTGTGTGGAGTTTGCATGTTCTCCCTGCCTTCGCGTGGGTTTCCTCCGGGTGCTCCGGTTTCCCCCACAGTCCAAAGACATGTGGTACAGGTGTATTGGGTAGGCTAAATTGTCCATAGTGTATGAGTGTGTTTGTGTGGATGTCTCCCAGAGATGGGTTGCGGCTGGAAGGGCATCCGCTGCGTAAAAACTTGCTGGATAAGTTGGCGGTTCATTCCGTTGTGGCGACCCTGGATTAATATAGGGACTAAGCTGACAAGAAAATGAATGAATGAATGATGACAGTAAATAATGTTTTACTAGATATTTTTCAGGACACTTCTATAAAGCTTAGGGGGCTAATAATTCTGACTTCAACTGTACTTATATATTAAGATGTGGTGTTAAGTGTACATGTCTACTGTAAGTTTATTGCCATGGTCTAAACCCCCATGAACCCTCATTCTGATTTAAATATGTATGCAATTGCATCTAATTCTTTAACTTTTCTTTATGTAGGGATTGCCTGGACCACTTGGCCCCCAGGGTCCCACAGGCCCTAAAGGGCGACAGGGAGAGCCTGGCCTTCAGGGCCCTAAAGGAATGAAGGGAGAGCATGGCGAAGCAGGCTTCGTGGGTCCAAAAGGAAGTGTGGTGAGTTTCTCTGTTCTGTTTTCTTCTTTGTCTTTAAAGACTTACTAAATACTGTTTAAAATAAAGCAAATAGCCCCTTTTCACAATACCTGATATTCGCATATGTGACATCCTTTTGGTAGTCTCAAGTTCGCAGCAATCTCTCAATTTGCCCCGTTTATTTTTGACCACCTTAAAATAAATAAATAATAATTGTATAAATATATCTATATTAGTAAGCGACCACCATTGTAGTAAGAAAACAATGCAAATATTAATAAAAAACGAATAATACAAATCACTATTCATTTCTGGCAAATATTCTGACCAAAACAGTTTTACATAAATGGATTTTAAAAAATACTATTTGGTGTATAAATATTCTGTGGTGGTTACATTGCAAACAGTCGAATAAATGAAAAAAAAAAGAGAGTAAAGTATATGAAACAATGATTGAATTGCATGAATGAATGAATGAATGAATGAATGAATGAGTGAGTGAGTGAGTGAGTGAGTGAGTGAGTGAGTGAGTGAGTGAGTGAGTGAGTGAGTGAGTGAGTGAGTGAGTGAGTGAGTGAGTGAATGAATGAATGAATGAATGAATGAGAGCAATCAAAACAGTATATGTGATAATTAGCTGAACTTTTAAGGATTAAGAAAAATGTGTCTAAGAACAGCTCTGAGACCAGATTTTAAAAGTGTGATTCTTACAAAAGATGTTAAGATGTAAATGTCTTTCTGATCATTTTTTAGGGAATGGAAGGGGTTCCAGGGTTTAATGGAGCTGATGGTGTACCTGTAAGTATTACTTTGTAGCAACATTTTATTTAGAGATATAACAAGGTTCTATAAAATGGCAGGAACAGCAATATGATAAAAGATACCAAAGTTTAGTTCGTACTGTAGTTACATCACTAAAACTCATCAGAAGTAATACACTTCTAATGTCATAATATATTTCCTTAATCTATAAAATGCGATGTTTTTGTTGTTGTTGTGAGATTTGGATTCACCCATTATGTGGCATTGATTGTCTCTCATCAGGGCCATCCTGGACCATCTGGAGCTCGAGGTAAAGCAGGACCTGATGGCTGTAATGGAACCCGGGGAGATTCAGGAATGCCGGGCTTCCCAGGTTTAGAAGGCGGACAAGGAACACCAGTACGATTGTTAATTTATTTGTGTGTTATAAGCAAAATCACTGAGACATTACACAGAATATATTCAGAACTTATATATTACATGACTTCGACTGTATAACCCATAATAATGTGATGCTCTGTAGGGCTGGCCAGGAATGAAGGGGGAGAAAGGTGATCCTTTGGAGGTTTGGGTCTATATGGAAAGATTCAGGGTAAGATAAATCAAAACCAAGAAATTTACCTTAAATAATTAGTTAAGCAAAAAAATAATAATTTGCACTTAATTTAATCACTTTAAGGCTAATCCGCTTGTTAAGTCATGGCCTATCGGTGACGTATGGATTATTGTTTCCGGGTCTAAGCTGCTAATCATTTGAATTGAGAAAGTATTCACTTATGACCACTTTTTAGTCATATCACACATTAAAGTGAATTTTATCTAAAATCTTACTGTACATTACAGTCTCTGTACTTACTGCATCCCAAATACCAACATTATTAGAATTTATAAACAAATAATAATTTTCTAGCCATCAGATATTAGGCATGGACATATATATTGCGATCATGATTTTATAAAATATTACATGGCTTTAAACGTTTATTATTACCATTTGTTGAGTCGCCCCATACAGTTTGATATAACAATTGAACCTAGAAGCCACTTTGCGTGACATCACACTTAAAAAGCTCATAGCTAATCTAAATAAGATACAAATAAAAAAAGTTCTAAATGACAAAAAGTATGGTGAAAATATATTGGAAGTTTTGCCAATGAATAAAGATAAAATTAAATAATATAACAATAATAAACAATATCCTACTTAATAATAAAATATTATACTTAATAATAACAATAACCATCATCATTATTAATATTATTATTAAAGTATAGGATTTTTTTTTCATTTCGTAATAAATATTAAATTTAATTTCTTAATAAATACCCTCATTTATTTATTTATTTATATGATTTATATATGAGATTAGAATACGTGTTAGCTTTTGTAAGTGATTTTGTTCATTTAGAACAGACTATGGAATGTTCTCAATAATATTTGTAAAGGAAACATATTCCCTATATGTTCCATTTACATGTATGTCAATTAATATAGAAAGCGAGGGCATGTTTTTACCAAAACTAATATTGGATTTTTTTATGTGTGTGCATTTAAAACAATATCCTTTGCACAAAAAAATTATGGGGTTTCTTCTCTAGTTGTTACTACCAGTTTAGATCATCATCATGGACGTTTTACGTTATAACTAATCTGCGACAAAGCAACTACGGTTTTGAGAAACACTCGTCACTACATCGTTCTTTTCCCAAACGATGATAGTTCAGTCGCGAGTTACGTCGTTGTTTGGGAAGCGCATCCCTGGCTAGATCTTTGTCAAGTAAATGTAGAGTATGTATAGAGTAGACATTTAAAATTTAGTCAACTGAATGACATTTTAGTCAAAAGTGAGTGGGCTTTACAAACCACCTGCAAAAGTACTCTTCTCTCTATAACAAAAACTTCCTCTAGCACTTAATTATGAGCACTAACAGTTCCTTTGTATGAATAGCACTTCTTGTGTGTATTGCCTCATCTTGTTTAATCTCTTCTAAATTGCAAGTCACTTTAGACACAACCGTTTGCTAAATGTAAATGTAAAAGACTACTAAAAAGTCAAAATGTCAAAATTAAGACTGTTAGTCAACATAACTCATAAAGACAATGATATCAATTATCCTGCTTTGGAGAGCTGTTCATTTAAGCTTTGATTATGTTTCCATTATTCTGAGATTTACTGTAGTTTACTTGCATTTGGTTTTAATAATAAAAATAATGATAATAATAAAAATAATAATAATAAAGATCAGTGAATCATTTCTTTATCGTTTTGTCACTTTGATTTTGTCATCGTTCCCTTTTATATATTACAGGGAGATCCAGGGCCAGCTGGTTTCCCAGGGATTGTTGTAAGTTTGCCAATTATTATGCATATTGTGACAATTGAAGCTAACCATTATTGATAAAAGATGGTGAGATGAAATGTGATTAAAGATCATGACTTAAACGTGTTGTTTTTTACAAACATCTTCATTTACTTTTACAGGGACCGACTGGTGACCCAGGATACAGAGGATTGCCAGGATTCCAAGGTCCTTGGGTGAGTTCATTTTATGCGCAGTCAAATTAAACGGCCTCCAAACCTGCAATCTCTTCTTCTTACTGTTTTTACTCATTTATTTATTTATTTATTTAGGGTCCTCAAGGTCTGAAAGGTGCCAAGGGACAAAAGGTAATAAAACACGACATTTAGCTTTATGAGAACGCTATCGAATTTACCCTGTTTAATAAGCAATCATCTTTAAAAAATCTTTGTATGATCTTTTGATGTTAATGTATATCCGCCACCTCTGTACAGGGTGAAAGAACTAAAATCTTAAAAGGAGTCAAAGGAGAATTGGTGAGGAATTGTTTAATGGCTTATACATCATCATGTCAGGCTCTTATTATGGTTTGTTATCTACACTTTTAACCTATACTCGCATACTCACTCAGGGAGAAATTGGAGAGCCAGGCCCACCAGGAGTTTTCTCGCAAACCAGCCCAATCCCTTCAGACTGGCAGGCAGGACGAACACTATTCAATACATATAGAAATTAGTTTTTCTTTTATAAATGTGATATACATGATAATCTCTCTGATTTCTGTCTCCTTTATTTTTTGGGGTTGTCAACAGGGTGAAAAAGGAAAAATGGGTTCTAAAGGAGATAAGGGAGATTTGGTAAGTGACATTTGAACTTTTGTTGATTACAAAGATGTTTTTTTCTTCCTTTCCTTCAATAAATGTAAATGTGCCGTCTTCATGTTTCATAGCCAGAGACAATACAGAAAAGACAATCTTAATGCTGCATATAGTCATTTTTGTCACGAAAGCTAAACATAGCCTATAAACAACTACATCGCAAGATTAAAAATAATAAGTCCCCAAATAATATTCAAAAGCTGTGGAAGTGGAACGCTTTCAGATGAAATTGGGGGAAAAGTGAAGATATCCCATGTTTGTGTTTTGGATACACCATGAAAACATTTTTGTTTTTAATTGTTTCAGGGATATTTATCCACAAAAGCAGAGAGCGGCGTGTCAGGGTTTGCAGGAGCTCGGGTATGATTTTTAAAACTTATAACCCTTTATATAAGCGAAATGCAAAGCAAACCTAATAAAAATCCAATATTGTTAACAATTTCCTATAACTACAGGGAAACCCAGGATTAGATGGCTGGCCAGGACCTAGGGTATCTATATTTTGATCAATTTACCAAAACTTGCATGTCATTTGTGGTTATTTTAATAACATATATCTTATTCCTACAGGGTGACACTGGACTGCCAGGTTTCCCAGGAAATAATGGCCGCAAGGTTATAAATACATTTCTGGCTTACTTAATAATAATTCTGTCTGAAAAATGTTCAGTAACTCAAATCTACATTATTCAACAGGGAGACGTAGGAGAACCCGGGGAGCTAGTAGGAAGTCCATTTGATGATACTGGAGGTATTTGTAAAAAAAGGAAATATGAAACTTTTCCTTCCTCAGCCCATACTCTGAACCCCATAGTCCCACAGCCCATATTGTAAAAGAAGATGGAGGTGCACAAAAGAATTATGCAGTTTCTAAAAGACTTAGTTAAGCCCATCGAGTCTATATTTAGAGTCACTTAAAGCAGTGTTTCTCAACCACGTTCCTGGAGGACCACCAGGTCTGCGCATTTTCCATGTCTTCTTAACTAAACACACCTGGTTCAAATCATCTCATTAGCAAAGACTAAAGACCTCATAATGCTGCGTTCTCTCCAGAAGTGTCAATTGCGAGTGATTTACATGCAAGTCACTGCAAAGAATAGACATACTGCAGAGCTAATGATGCTATTCGCATGAATGAAGTGGCATGGTTTGGAAAATCTGAACTTCAGCAGACTTTTGTGCTTCATTAATCAATCAGGAGCTTGCTTATGTAGGTGTGTGATTATGACATAGTGCCTGTTGTTGGTGTCCCGAGGGGAAATTCTCTTGCCGACACCAGACAACAGCTCATCAAACTGGCTTGGCTCAGTCTGAAGGTTCGCTGAAAGCTTTTATCATCCAGGTACTGAAGTTGATGATCTCACAGAGCTTGGTGCACCTCAGAAAGGATCTAGTAGACTCAGACACTGCGCCAAACGAATCAACATGATTTTTCAGCCCTCCTAAAACACTTAAAGCACAGCTAGTACCTCAATAAAATCCATGTTAGCCATTTAGAAACGAAACTACAGAAGAAACCGAAGCCCTGCTCATGATGTGAACCTGCGTCCATTGTGAAGTGAAGTAAACTCAAAACGTTCACACATTATTTATGTGTAAATAGCACGATTTACTCGAGCATGCCATGTCTGGTGTAAACACAGCATAATGAGTGTGACAGACAAGAGAGACATCCAAAACATGCAGTGTTGGTGGTCCTCCAGGAATGTGGTTGAGAAACATTGACTTAAAGTGTCACCCAAAAATAAATATTTACTCAATATTTGCCCACCCTCAAGTGGTTTAACACTTTTCTGTGTATTGTTTTCAACACTAAAGAAGATGATAAAATCTGAAAACCAGTAACCACTGACTTCCATAGTGTAGGAAAAAACGGTTACAAGTTTTTATCTTTCTTCAAAATTTGTAATTTTGTGTTCAGCACAAGAAAATGAATCCAACATGCTTGGAATAGCGCTTCACTTTTTCCACATTTTTTTATTTTACAGCCTTATTCCAAAATGGATTAAATTCATTTATTTCCTCAAAATTCTACACACGATACCCCATAATGACAATGTGAAAAAAATATTTTTTTTAAGTTGTTGCAAATTTATTAAAAATAAAAAAACCTGACAAATCACATGTACATAAGTATTCACTGCCTTTGTCGCAGAGCTCTAAATTGAGCTCAGGTACATTCTTTTTCCACTGATCATTCGTGAGATGTTTCAGCAGCTTAATTGGAGTTCACCTGTGGTAAATCCAGGTGATTGGACATGATTTGAAAAGGCATACACCTGTCTATATAAGGTCCCAGGGTTGATAGTGCATGTCAAAGCACAAACCCAGCATGAAGACAAAGGAATTGTCTGTAGACCTCTGAGACAGGATTGTCTCGAGACACAAGGCTGGGGAAGGTTACTGAAAAATTTCTGCTGCTCTGAAAGTTCCAATGAGCACATTAGCCTCCATCCGTAAGTGGAAGATTTTTGGAATCACTAGGACTCTTCCTTGAGCTGGCCGGCCATCTAAGCTGAGTGATCAATTAAGAAGGGCCTTCGTCAGGGAGGTGATTAATAACCTGACAGTCAATCTGAAAGAGCTCCAACATTCTTCTGTGGAGAGAGGAGAACCTTATAGAAGGCCAACCATCTGTGCAGAAGCCCACCAATCAGGCCTGTATAGTAGAGTGGCCAGAAGGAATACACATAGCTGCCCGCCTGGCATTTGCTTAAAGGCATCTGAAACAAAACTCTCTGATCTGATGAGACTAAAATGTAACACTTGAAGTGAAGCATGGTGGTGGCAGCATCATGCTGTGGGAATGTTTTTCAGCAGCAGGAACTGGAAGACTAGTCAGGATAGAGGGAAAGATGAATGCAGCAATGTACAGAGACATCCTGATTGAAAACCTGCTTCAGAGTGCTCTTGACCTCAGACTGGGATGATGGTTTATCTTCCAGCAGAACAATGACCCAAAGAACACCGAAATATCAATGAAGTGGTTTCACAACAACTCGGTGAATGGCCTTGGGTGGCCCAGCCAGAGCCCAGACCTAAATTTGATTGAACATCTCTGGAGATATCTGAAAATGGCTGTACACAGTCGCTTCCCATCCAACCTGATAGAGGTACTGCAAAGAGGAATGGGCAAACATTCCCAAAGACAGGTGTGCCAAGCATGTGGCATCATATTCAAAAAGACTTGAGGCTGTAATTGCTGCAAAAGGTGCAATAACAAAGTATTGTGCACAGGCTGTGAATACTTATGTACATGTGATCTTTCAGGTTTTTTATTTTTAATACATTTGCAACAATTAAAAAAAATCTTTCATTTCATCATACATTCATACATTATGATGCTTGTTCAAAGATTTTGCACATTGTGCCAACTGTTTCTAAAAGCCTAAATGCATTTATCTGCTAACATGTGGTTAACTATGCCAATGACCAATTGTACTTAATACTTCTACCTAATAAAACAAAACAAATAAAACCAAAATCTTCTCTTCTTTCTCTTTGTCTTAATGAAATAGTGGGTCCTCCAGGACCTCCAGGAGAGCGTGGCCCTGTTGGAAATTATGGCCGTAAAGGTGCTAAAGGACAACCAGGTCCTCCAGGACCCCCTCCCTATGGACAACAAACAGGTATTTTATTACTGATCCCCATATGAGCTTTAAATAGGTCATTATATTATGTGTAGAAATATACCTAAAGCCTAGCTCACACCACATAAACATCAACAGATCGATGAGCCATTCAGACTACATGACTTGATTGTGTGTCATTAAGTTGTTTTGTTGTTTACATTATGCAACACTACGTAAATCAGGAGGGTGGTCACACACTACACAACATGACAACAATCCTGTCACCACACAGCACTGTCCAGCCCCCAAACCACAGTGAATGAAAGATTACAGAGGAGCATTTAAAAGCAATGTCTGATCCATCGGCTGATCAATAGATGTGGTTTTCATATGCTCTTGTTCCTTTGTAAATGCAGGTCGAAACGATGACCATTCTACACAATCACAGCCACTTCTTTTTTCTTTTTTTTTATAGGGGTTTTCACCCTTTATTGTCAGGACAGTAGAGATTGACAGACAGGAAAGTGTAGGGAGCAAAGATAGGGAAAGGATTAGCAAAGGACCTCGAGCCAGGAAATAAACTCAGGTCGCCACAAGCACATGGGTGCTATGTATCGACGCACTAACCACTAGACTATTGGCGTAGACAATCACGGCCATTTCTATTGAGAGCATAAAAACACTGGCCAGTCTTGCTCTCTCATTGGCTGTGGCTCATCACTACATCTGATTTGGTTGGCCAACTGGTTCAGGATATTTAACATCCTAGATTTGAATTTTCGTTTGCGAGGTGTCGCATAAGAGAGCCTCTTTGTCTTAGACTGTCCAGTGTAGATCAGACTGTTGAAGAACTCGTTGAAGTAATCAGACTTAAAACCCTACTTAAAATCCTGTAATGTAAACTTGGCATTATGTTTTCATCTTTCCTTATTCTTTCTTCGATCATATGCTTGCTTAACCAAACTCTAATTCAGTTGTTTCCCTCATCCACAGTCGAATTGTGGGGTCCAGAAGGACCTCGGGGGCCAAAGGGAGCCAGTGGTGAAACTGGAGAACCTGGTAATCCTGCCACTCAGCCTGGGCCACCTGGTCCTGATGGGTCACCTGGAAGTGTTGGGCCACCTGGACCCAAGGGATCATGTAAGCATTTTAATGAATTTTTTTTATATAGCAAAGCTCTATATCTGGTGAGGTTTTGGAAAAGGTCTTGATTTCTGCATGTGCTGCATGTAGATGTCTTGAATGTCAGAGTTACAGAGACTCCTACTTCCTGCTAATTTGCATGTGAATAGACGCATATGAAAGTAAGGTGTTTTTAATTAGTCTTCAATCATGTTAATAGTTGATCTGAGGTAAAATGAGCAGACACCTATGGAAGAGAGACATCAATACTAAGTATTATAACATACTTAAGACTTAAAGACTTTCAATGTGTCTTAATACAGTGGAAGAGTACTTCAAAGGTTCTCCTGGACACCGTGGACGTCCAGGGAGTGCAGGAAAAAAGGGGCCAAAGGGTAAGCTAAGTGCATATAAAATTGCTTTAGGATTTTTAAATACTTGCTAATGCATAGGACTATGAGAAGAACCTTTGTCCGTTTTTGTTAGTATTGTTTTACTGGTTTTAACAGTTTTTTTGTTTTGTTTTTACCACTTGCTTAGGTGACCATGGTCTGTGCGAATGCAGTGTAAAACCCCCACCTGGTCCCCCGGGACCTCCTGGTGATTCTGGGGATCCTGGGATGGCAGGTGAGTGGGGTCAGCAGGGTGATCAGGGAGATCCAGGAACCAAAGGTGCCAATGGTTTGCCTGTAAGTTGCCAACACCACATCTTGTTGTCACACGGCTTATGAAAATCTTTGCACTTGCCAAAGCAAAATGCAATTTTACAGGGTTTTCCTGGCACAGAAGGATTACCTGGGCCCAAAGGCAGAAAAGGAGAGCTTATGGAAGCTGTGCAGAAAGGTGCAGTATTCATCTATAGCGTGTTTAGATAATACAAGAGGTCATATACAACTATATGTTCTTTTTTTTTTTTTTTTTGCACTTTGGAACTACAGGATCAGCTGGTGACCCAGGAGACCCAGGTCACAGTGGTTTCCCTGGAGAACAGGGAAGACCAGGGATAGATGGCAGAGATGGTGAACCAGGTTTTAGAGGGCCTCCTGTAAGTATTAGATCTAATTAAAAGACTAATTTCTTGAGTGTGGTGATTCCACTATTAATCACACTTTAATTTTTCTACTGGACAATTGCAAATTGTGCAAAATGAAAACAAAGGTGACTTAAAGGTCACTTTAAAAGAGACACAGAAGCTATTACCAACTATTACCAAAACATTTTGTCTTGTTACAGTATCTCATCCTGAGATGTTGCTTGTTTTTCACACTGTTTGTGCCACAATAGTTTTATCATATATTAACCTTATTTTTCAATGCGGAATTGCGCTTGTTTTTGCGACAGTTTCAGAAATTCCGATTCAGCTGCCTTTAGGAGAAATCACTTAAAATAACAAACCGCAGAAAACGGTCAAGCTACTTGCTCTAAAAACAAGTGTTTGTATGATTATGCAGACAAAGCAGAATCTTATAATAATAAGAAAAATATCAGTTTGCAACATCAAGCAGCAGAACGAGCTGTTTTTAACATCTAAAAATGAATGGAAGTGAATGAAAATGGAAGTCTCAAACCAAAAGGGATTCAAATGGCTGTGCCCGCTCGTACGCAAAGTATAAGGTGAATATGAATATATATCTCACCATATATATTATTTTATTTAATGGGTACTTTATTAGGTAAACCTGTCTAACTGCAAATTTCTATTCAGCCAATGCAAATGGCAGCAACTTAATGCATTTAGGCATGCTGACTAGGTCAAGACAATCTGCTTCAGTTAAAACCGAGCTTCAGAATGAGGAAGAAAGGTGATTTAAGTGACTTTGAATGTGGCATGGTTGTTGGTGCCAGATGTGCTGGTCTGAATGTTTCAGAAACTGCTGTTCTACTGAGATTTACACACACAACCATCTCTAGGGTTTACAGAGAATGGTCCGAAAAAAGAGTGGCAGTTTTGTGGGCGCAAAAGCCTTGTTAATGCCAGAGATCAGAGGAGAATGGCTAGATTGGTTCCAGCTGATAAAAAGGCAACAGTAACTCAAATAATGAGTGCAGTTGAGCATCTCTACAATTCGCACAGGCTCACCACAAATTAAACAATAGAAGATTGAAAAAATGTTGCCTGGTCTGATGAGTCTCGATTTCAGCTGCAATATTTAAATGATAGAGTCGGAATTTATCGCCAACAACATAAAGCCTGGTATCAACGGTTATGGCTGTTTGTGGTGGTGAAATGGTGTGGGGGATATTTTCTTGGCACACTTTGGACCTATTAGTACCAATTGAGCATCAGTTGAACGTCTCTCTGAGTATTGTTATTGGCCATGTCTATACCTTTTATGACCACAGTGTACCCATCTTCTCATATATATATATATATATATATATATATATATGAGGTGCCGTATAGGATTTAAATCAAACTTTGCTTATCAACACATACATAAAACACGTGTATATACACCTATAAATTACTCGCATATACACCTATACTACTGGATGTTCAAAACAACATGGATGAAACATGTGTATATACATATAAACTTGACGCATGAATACACCCACATACACACGCGCATACATATAAACTCGATCCTCACATAAACACTCACATTTACACACGCACATACATATAAACTTGCTGCATGCAAACACACCTATACACACTCGCATATACATATAAACTTGATCTATGCATATATAACCATAAACTCTCACATAAGAATATAAACTTGATGTGTGCATAAACACCCAAATGACACTTGTGCAAACATACAAAATAAAATTCACAAACATATATACAGTAAGTTGTGTATATACATATATGCAAGTGATTTCATATGTGTGTATGCATGAATTTTCACAGTAAAAGGAAGTTATTTCACTTTAAAAGGAAGTCGTTTAATTTCAACGTAAAAGTCCTTTTAGTGTAATGAATAACATTATTATTTGTCATGAATCAGGTTATTGCAAACCTTAAGAAACAGAAATAATGTGATTGATAGAGGAATTACATCTGTTGAATTATGAAAACAGATTATGCTAATTCTAAAATATAAATCAATAAAAAGGTAATGCAAAGGAATGCTCCTGCAAAATTAAAGGTTTATTATGCAATTAAATTATTGGAAAAGTTATTATGGTTTAATAAATATTAAGTTGCTTAAGTAATCATTTTGAATAAAATGTGTTTGTCTAATATTAGTTTTTTATATTTGTTTTATTATTGGTGTCACTGTTCGTCAAGGGTTATGATACACACTTATGTCCAGTAGGGGGCAGGAATGCACTTAAGTGGGTTTTCCTGTCACCAATAAACAGGCTAATGCACCAAAATGCTGGATGCCAGCTGCTGTAAAAATATTAGTAGTTATTAAACACAAAAGGAGTGTCCAGATAATATTTATAGCTTTTCCATGGGGGTTAACTTGACCAACATGATGAGCAGAGACTTTTAATCAGCGTTTTTTTTTAGTTTTGTTTTTTGTATATGCTGAATAATTAACAATCAAAATGATACCAAAATCTTGCAATTTTGACACCCACATTGTAAAAACATATAAAAAGCATAATAATTATAAAAATGTAAAAAACAAAACAAGAAGACTATAGGCTACATTAATATTTGCAATAGAATAGAGGAGTTTAGTTTGAGTATACATTTATATTTACAATTCTGGTTGCTTTTTGAACGTCCTTTAAGGGTTCTATCTGTCCATTTATATTTGTGTATGTAATTACCTAATTAAATGAAAAGGTTTAAAATAAAAATATTTCTTATTTTGAATAGTCTATTTATATAGACTAATATTTTATATAACATGTTCATAATTTAACATATTTAATCCCTCTATTAATCACATTATTTCTATTTCATAAGCTTTGCAATAACCAGATTCGTGATAAATGTTTGTGAATTTTTTTATTTATTTTTTTTGAATGTTTGCGCGAGATTTTGTAGGTGTGTTTGCATGCTGTGAGTTTGTGTATGTGCGCGTGTTGTTAAGGGTGTATATGCATAGACCGAGTTTATATGTATATGCGAGTATGTATAGGTGTGTTTGCATGCTGCGAGTTTATATGTATGTGCATGTAAATGTGGGTATTTATGCGAGAATCGAGTTTATATGTGTATGCGAGTGTGTATAGGTGTGTTTGCATGCAGCAAGTTTATATGTATGTGCGTGTGTAAATGTGAGTGTTTATGTGAGGATCGAGTTTATATGTATGCGCGTGTGTATGTGGGTGTATTCATGCGTCAAGTTTATATGTATATACACATGTTTCATCCATGTTGTTTTGAACATCCAGTAGTATAGGTGTATATGCGAGTAATTTATAGGTGTATATACACGTGTTTTATGTATGTGTTGATAAGCAAAGTTTGATTTAAATCCTATACGGCACCTCATATATATATATATATATATATATATATATATATATATATATATATATATATATGTATATGTATATATATATGTATATATATATATATATATATATATATATATATATATATATATATATATATATATATATATATATATATAT